AAGGGAGTTTCCAAGCCATGACTCTGTGTGTCTCCGTTTTGCTTGGATTTATTACTCTGAGGATGTATTTATGTCTTATTTGTAGAAATAAAGTATCCTTTAAAAAAAGAAACTGCCTGCAAAATTGCTCATGTCTATAAGTACGTGTATCTTTCTTGGGCAGTCAACGGTCCAAGCTTTCATCACGGGCATAAGGGAGTTAGAGACACCCAAAAGCTGATGAAGAGCTGTGATTCCACAGGTGGGAGTTGTTAGGACTTGTACTGGACATCTCTGATCCACGGTCCTCCTTCTCCACCCTGCCCTGGCTGCCTCCACCAGCTGTTTGGCTTCTGGCTTCTGGTGGGGCCTGGTTGGGTCACGTCTCCTGTCAGGCTGCCCTCTCCGCACAGCTCTCTGACTCCTGATTCGAGTAACTGCTTCCTGCCCTCACCCCTTCAGAACTGGGCAGTCACCAATGTCCTGTGACTGGCCCCAGGCACTGCATTCTCCTTTGCGGTTTCCCTACACTCTGCCCACACCTTTGAAACAGCCCCTTTATTAAACTCTCCTCAAATCACCCAATTTGCATGTGCCACCTGTTTCCTGCTGGGACCCTGACTGATACAGTATTTTAAATTTGTCTTTGTACCATCTCTGCCTATACACTCACATACATTCACTCACACACACACTCGCTTACTCACACAACTGACACACACATTCATTCACACTCATGCATAGACACACACCTATACTTACATACTCATATACACTCATCCACAAACATACCCACTCACTCGCAAACTCACACTCAATACTCACACACAGTGTTGCCTGCTCCCAGCACTTTGGGGAATGTAGTGCTCTGGTTAAATCCTGCTCTGTGAACTGAGTGTCCACCTGTGATGCAGGAGCCTGGCCCTTGCAGGAACTCCACTGCTGGGGCACCTGTCACCTGCCCTCCACTGAACTGGCAACTCTCACCAGTTCTTATTTTTTGAAATGCTGCACTTTGTCCACTACTAATCTGAATGAACCCACGAACCGCACACTCTCAAGACACTTGGAAAGAGGCTTCATAAAAATACCAAGTTAGAGCAGCCCCTGGAGTCTTTAGCCATGAAGAATAAACCTAGGAGTAAAAATAAAATCTTTCCACCAAATTTCAGGTGGGGACAGATGGAAACCTTCAGGAGATCACACAAATAAAGGTTAATTTAGATGGACAGCAACAGGTACTTTGGGTGGGAGTCGCAGGAAGACACATTTTGGCTAAATATGACGTCACCTTTTCAATAACTGGAGGCCATCTGATGATGGGCAGGCCATCTTGGGAAGCAGCCCCTTGTCTGGGGCTGCGTTGCAGAGAGACGGATGTAGGAGTTGGGAGGAAATGACCTCTAAGGCTACTGTAAGATACACCCGTGACCTTGTTCAAGTCACTTTCCCCTTTGGAGGTTCTGCTTCCTCATCTATAAAATGACTGCCTCAGTCGAGGCGTCTCCAAGGGGTTTTCAACAGCTATAAATTCTCTAAATCTCTGATTCCACAGGCAAAGAGCTGCAAAAAGTGGAGGGTGGGGGGATTTGGAAAGGAGCTTCAGAAGTAATTAGTGATGGAAATGCGAATCTCTAGCTGCCTCTGGATATCTGAGTTTGCAGATTAAAACATGGCTGAATCTTGGCTGAATGATTCCATTCCCTCCAGAGCACAAGGCACCAGTAGGACGTTGAAAAATCTGGGGTCTGTTGGAGAGGGAGCGGCAAATGAGTTTGTTTGGGAGACAAAAAGCCAGGCTATGAATTGTGCCTGTAGCAGCTGCTAGTCTTATAGCCTCGCTGGACTTCAGCTTCTTCAAGTGAGGACCAGAGTATCAATCACATAGGCAGGTTTTTCTAAGGATTAACAAATATGAATGTCCCTAGCCTTCCTGGTTGGGATAGAGATAATATGTATCCCAAGAAAATATGGATCCAGGCTCCCACGCTTGAAACTCAGGACAAAGTTAAAGTTTCCCTGGATTAGGATAAAACCCTGTTTGTACCCACAAGGTTAACCTGGGAAACAAAGTAACCAACGTTTCTGAGCTTGCCTTGCAGAACAGCAGGAGGGCCGCTGATAGAGTAGCTTGCTGACAGCCCCACCCACCCCACTAAGCAGCTCGCAGGAGCGCTGAGAAGCTACAATGACCAGTTGTCAACTTTAGACATCACAGACTAAAAATGCACCACATGCAACACATAGAACCCCCCCCGAATTTGTACATGCGACCCACGTAGAAATATGAAAGACAGTTGCCCCTGCGCAGAGGACTCTTAGAACTTCAGCCCCTAAGGCCACATGCTCCCCCTCCCCATCTTATTCTCACAGTGTGCTTCGGAAAAACCCTTAGAACTGCATGTAGGCAAGCCAGTCTATAACCAGTCGAAAGAATAACTGGTTAGCAGAAAATTTATGCCCTCTGCCCAAACTGTTCCTTCTGTCCCAGATAAGGAGGTAACAGGTTTTCTTAGATTCCTCAGGAACGTGGCATTCAGCAGATTCACTACGGAGAGGCACCCAACGTTCTGGGGTCACCCATCACCTGACATTTCTGAGCCCCCTCCCCAGCACCGTTTGCCTTACATAAATCATTTCCAAATCAGTTCCCCTTTAAGACGGGTTCTTTAGGATGACAGTCCACCATCTTCCGATTTGCTAGCTTATCTCTTACTAAAGTTCTTTCTCTACCACCACCTGCTTGGCCTTTTATCTTGTGACAGCAGATCGAGCCCTTGCTCCGTAACACGCTTACTGGCTCTGTGACCTCTGGAAACTTACTTAACTCTACAAGCCTTGGTTTCTCACCTGCGAAGTGGTAAGATTGCAGCACCTCCCTCGCACAGTGGGTGAGGAATGATAAGCCAAAGCACACGAAACACTTTGCACACAGAGAAGGTTAGTGTTGTGCCTACTAACAAGGAGCTTTGTGGGATTCTAAACAGCAGCATGCATTTTACTGTATCCTAGGAACTGCACCATGGCCTGCGCTGACCCTGACTGAACCAAGGATTCAGAAAGGTGGTCTGTAGCCTCCCTGATGTGGGCTTTTAGCTTAGCCGTGGGTGTCCGTGTGGTGGCAGTAGCTTGAAGGCAGCATGAGGGTGGTGGGTGGGCACCCAAGGGATGGACCTGAGGGAACTTGGGCACAGCCCTCTGCTTGCCACGGCTGTCATATATTACCCCATGCCAGTGCGATTCCTTGGGCCCTCTGGAAACCACAAGTGTCGAACTGAAGAGCCTTGCTCCTTCATACTCTGGTCTGGATGTCTTTGGTGAGGGGGTCAGTTATCTGGGACCCACACCTCTCAGACAGTTTCCTTTAGGCCCCCAGGAATTACACTCGCAGGGTCCTCAGAGACCCTCTGACCTGACTCTGCAAATATAATTCCATGCTTACTTAGGAGTAGGTCCATCTCATGTCCTACCTGCCTGGGCGGGGAGGCAGGGAGGCCAGCCATTGCACAATAAAGGTGGAGCTCAAAAACTCCAAACGATTCTTCTTTAAAGGAAGGACATTGTTCTAAAGCTGTGTGACACCAATAGTCAGGGTCTTCATAGTAGCTATATTCTTCGTAAGCTTTCCTGCCAAATGAGTTATTTGGAGGATTGAAGAATTCCCAATGGCCAGCGGGAAGTTACAGAGATGAAAACTTGCATTTTAGATCATAAGCATTTTATTAATATGTTACTATTTTAAGCCATCATACAGATATCCTTTGTATTGATCTCAGTGTGATGTACCGACTGAATAAATATGCCAATTTCCGCTGCGGAGCCAAATAGTATTTTTAACCTACTTTAAAATATGTGTTGTTTCCTATGTTTTTTTTTTAAAGTTTGGAGTTGATTATGAAAGCATTTTCAATTTTAAAAAAATCTTCTTTCCAGAGAATATACATATACATTTTAACTATTAAATATAAAGCTTAATGTGGTGGATAATTACTTTCTGAAACTACAAACAAAGGTAAAAAAAGGTGAACTAATTTTTTTTGGCTTATGTGTGCCATTATATTGGAAAATACCACTACAACAAAAGAAATTTGACCAACAATTCTTTGCATATAACTGAAATATATTCTTATACGTATTTTTTTCCTGATCACAGCCTATTTAGCATGTTTAGTGTAGAACAGTGTGTACTTAATCAGAAACATCAGGATCTTCAAAAATTAAGGGGAAAAACCCCCAGAGAGCTGAAGCTTTTCACACATTGGCTAATAGGATCCTCAAGACAATAACAGTACTATCGTCATTTCATAAATGGGAAAGTTAGGATGGGAGAAGGTCAGGGCTCAATGAGGGGCTTTCAGTTGGTTCCAAATAGTTTATCTCCATGGTTCTTCTCTTTCCCTTTCTTCAAAATGAGGGGCAGGGGGAGATCCCCTATGTCTCAAGGCATATTTGGGAAATATAAATTGGGAAAATAAGTTAGATCCTATTTAAAGGCTGGTTGGAGTTCTTGTTTGGGAAGGCACTGAAGAACTAATAACCAGTCATTGTTATTTGTGACTCCAAAGAAATTTCCTGGTTACAGACAGAAATACAAAATTTCCATCTTGTAAACTGACACCAGCTACTGCCCTTGCTTTGTGGAGCAAGAAACCCTAGAAAACTCAGGTCCAGGGGAAGGAATGGGGCTACCTGGGAGTTACGTAGGCAGAGCCAGAGCTAAGATGGGCTCAGAATCACAGAACCCAACATTGCAGGTGACCTTGGTTAGGTGGTTTAACTCCCAGCCGGGAGCATGAGTCCTCGGCATGTTCCCTCCCAGGATGGGGCGCCGTTATCTCACGGGACGGCCTATCCGTCTCCGAGTGGCTGACTGTTGGAAAGTCCTTCCTAAGTCTGAGCAGAAACCTGATGGGGGAATGTGGGGCCTTTTCTTCCCAATACTCGCGCATTGCGGGTGTAGATGTAGTTCTTTAGACAGCCCTCGCCGCCTTCTCCTGATGTCCCAGGAGACGGGGAATTACCTGAAGTTGTAGCCTGGGGAGATGCTGCTCTTCTCAGAAACACCGTCAAGTCGGGTGAAGGAGTACTTGGGGATGCACTGCTCCCAGGCCTTGTCCAAGTCGCACACCCAGCCGATCTTAATGCCTAGAACTCCGCCCTGGAGAAAGGGCCGGATGTGAGCTCTCTGTAGCCCTCCACCTCCCCGTCCTTGACCGGGCTGGGGGCTGGGGGATTCGTGACAAATGGACAAGTGATTTCTTTCCATTCTCTAGGTGGAGGACGGAGGAAGGGAGTGAGAAAAGTGGTGTATCACACGTTGCTTGGTGAAGTACTGTACTTGAGCCTCTAAATCCTGCTTTTGGTAACTTCAGACACTTAGCCAACTCAGGAGAGAGAAAGTGGCCAAAGATCCACTTGCCCATTGTGTGGGCCTTTTCAAAGATCTAGGGCCTCCTCCTGCAGGTGAAGTGGGAAGATGGGAATGGGAAACAGGCTTGGGGGGAAGGGTGAGGGAGACAAGACTCAGGGCAGGGCTGGGTGGAAATGGCTTAGGCACAGAGCCAGCTGCAGGCCTGAGATGCTTCCACCAGGTGGCGCTGCCTCGCTGCCTCTCCTCTTCCCCAGCGCCCCACTGCCTGCCAAAGGGCCCCCTAAGTCCGGGAAGGGGGAGTTCCCTGGCTCGGGTCGTGGAAGAGTGGCTAAGTCCTCACCGTGCTGGCCAGTTTCGCAAAATCCTGCCCCGCGAATTTGACCACATCCCCCACCCGCAAGATGGGGCAGAAGGGGGCCTTGTCAGGGTGGAAGCGGCATGTCTTCATGTCGGCGGCTGTCAGGTTGGGAAGGAGGTTTCCCCTGGGGAGGAGAGGAGAGAGGCAAGGCCCAGGGTTAATGTGAAGACAGTCTTGCACAAATGTTTCTCTAGCCTTCGGGAGCCTCAGGGCCCTCCGCGCCCAGGCAGGCGGATGTGAGTTCTCAGATGCTCGCTGTATCCCTCACCTCTGTCCCTGTATCTTCCTTGTAACTCCCATCACCTCTCCTGTATTAGGGTTGTGTGTCTAATGTCCCCTCAGCTCCCAGGCTGGGGCTCCTGGAGGGCAGGAGTCACACCTGGTTACCCCTGGCACCTCCGTCCTGCCTGGCTTTGTGTTTGCACACGCCCAATATGCACAGAGGAGTTGTTGAGCCAGGGAGTCAATGAAGAGAGGCTGAGCTCACTAAGAGGAAAGGGGCACCCACACCTGGGCTTGATGTGGGGAGACAAGCAATCGGGTGCGCCCTCCGGCCCCCACCTTTGGAGGCACCTGAGTTCCAGGCCCAGGTTTCACTTGTCCCTCCCTGGCCCCAAGCAAAACTCCCATGTGGGTTCTGAGCCCCCGGGCAGGGAGGCCGGCAGAGAACTTGGCCCCAGAGTCCACCCCACACTTGGTGGTCAGGGCTGGCGGGGAGGCTGGGAATAAGAGCTCCAGGGAGATGGGGAGACCGGGAGAAAGTGGGGAGAAACGTGGTGACAGGCCTCCCCGCTCCTCTGAAACGCGGTGCCAGGTGGGGTGGGTGCCCTGCTGCCTGGCTTGAGGGAGGGAGCTAGGACTCACTTCTCAAAGTTGAAGAGGGGGAAACGGATGCTGTTCTTGATGAAAATAGTGAAGTTCTCAGCCTCCATCATGACGGGCCTGTGGGTGAGAACAGGAGGCCTCAGCTGCTTGGGAAGAGGAAGGAGAAACGAGGGGCGCTTTCACCCCAGGGAGCACCTTTCCCGGTGGACATCTCCCAACGGGCACATGGTCGTGGCCTCTCTGGGTCTGAGGGTCAGAGGGACAGGAGGGTGGCCCGTGAAGTGGGCTGTCCGGGAAGATGATATCCTGAGGCCCCTTCCCCACCCCAGAGTGGACACCACTAGGGATGCCCACAGACGTGCTGCAAGCTCAGAGATGCAGAGTTCCCACAGGCGCAGAGGAGAGCTGGGGTGGCTCCTCTCTCCTCCCGCCTGGCTCAAGTCCTTACATTTCCACCGTGTCCACCTCGGCAGGGCACCAGCCCCGGATCTCACAGGTCCGGAGCACAGAGCTGTAGTTCACGCAGCGGCCAGTGAGGATCCCTGTGAGGGTGGAGCCACAGTGCTGGGTGCCCACCCGGCCCTTTGCCACTCTCTTGCCCCCAAGCCCCCTCCTCAGGGACCCCCCCCCCACACACATACAGAGGGTCCCCACAGGTGGAGGGAAAGACAGATGGGGCAGGGGAGGCAGACTGGTGGCACGTTAGCCCTGAAGAACTCTCCTCTCCCCTCCTTCCAAGCCCTAGACCAAGTCAAAGGGAGGTGACAGCCTTCCTCTCACACTTTCCAAGCCCCAGTCACCCCGAGGGCCCCTTGTCCTCCTTGTTCCCCAGTCACTGCATGCTCCTCCTGGCCTCTGAGCCTTTGCTGCAGCTGTTCCTTCTGCCTAGAATGTTCTTTTGAGGCCCCCCATACTGTCAAATCCTACCCATCCTTCAGGGCCTGTCTCAAATGTCACCACCTCTAGGAAGCCATTGGGTCCATCCACCCAAAGCCAATCTCCCTCCCTCCCCTGGCTCCCACAGTACCTCCTTGACAGCACTTGCCACCTCGTGGCACACCCGTCTGTTACCACCATCCCTGGACTGGGAACTCCTCTGGTGCCAGCCTTGCAGGGTCTGGCACACAGTGGGCATCCATAAATGCCGGCAGAGTTACATGACATAGGCCAATTCCCACTCCTTCGCCTAGGGTAGGCTCTCTCCCTTGGGGGGTGTGCTGCCTTTCAGGGTCCCACTAACACTTTGGGGTTGTGAGGGGCGAGGAAGGGGCTGCACTCACCCCCACCCGGGAAGCGCTCGGGCCTGCACTGGCTGTCTGACACACAGCGGTACTTCTCCTCGCTCTGTGGGGAGACAGGTCCGCAGGTGGGTGAAGGACCCTGAGCTGGTCCTGGGTGAGCTCCTCAGCTCCCACTGCCTCCCCACAAGTGGCCTCTGGAGGGTGGAGGTCCCAGACACGGCACCAAGGCCGGACCTTGGTCCTCTGCTTACACCTTCACCCCTCCCTTCCAGCTCCCCCCCAAACACGTTCTTCCATGACCCACTTCATCCGACCTCCCTCCCTCCCCTCACCTCTGGGCAGAATCCTTGCATCTGGTTTTCCGTAACAATCATCTTGGTGATGATGACAAAGACAGAGGTGCCCTTGGGAAGGGAAAGGAGAGAAGAAAATGCAACAATGCCAATCCGTGAGGTGGTACCCTTGTTATCCCCATTCTACAGATGAGGAAACTGAGGCTTAGGTTGAGAGATCTGGCCAAGGTCACAGGGCGAGTAAAGGACAGACCAGGCTCTTCCAACCACCCTCTGGCCCCTCTTCTTCCTCTGTGTGTTGCCCTTGATTATACGACAAGTTAGCAGATCCCGAGGGGAACCCAGCTTTCCCGATGCCCAGTGCTGCCTTCCTAGGGCAGGCCCAAGCTCCCCTCTCCTCCCAGCCGCTGGGGGTTCTCTGGGCCACTGATGCCCAGATTCTGGTTTGGGGTTCCTCTGAGCACTCTCCTTGCCCTGCCCCCTCCCCTCCAACCTGCCCAGTGTCTAGGCATCCACACTGTGCCCTGGGGTGGGGGACCGTACCTGGGGTGGGGTCACATAGTCAGACACGTCCATGACTCTGTTGGCATAGTGTCCAAAGCCCTTCACCTTGGTTACCACCGAGGACTCAATGGCTGTGTCCCGCACCTGGTATGCCTTCTCATGCAAGAAAACCCACCTGGGCGGGAGAGCAAGAGAGAAGGTCTAGGCCCATCAGACAGAAGCTGGGAGAGGTCTCCTTCCTGCCTGGCAGGGGGAGGCCTGTGCTGGAGGCAGGGGACCTGAGAGTGGGCCCTGGGTTGGCTTAGAGTAGTGCTTCTCCATCTTTTCCCCCTAAGGAGCCTTCTTAGACTTTTTTTTCCTAATTGTAAACCCCCCATGAAATTTTAATACAACAGTAGTCCTCACTTATCTGCAGTTTCGCTTTCTGTGGTTTCAGTCACCTGTGTCGATGGCGGTCTGCAAATATTAAATGGAAAATTCTAGAAATAAACAGTTCATAAGTTTTGAACTGCACTCTCACACCGTCCTGCTCCCTCCCGCCCAAAGGACGTGAATCAGCCCTTTGTCCAGCAGGTCCACGCTGTATACGCCACTTAGCCGTCCTCTCTGTTATCAGATCGACTGTATCACAGGGCTTGTGTTCAAGTAACCCTAATTTTACTTAATAATGGCCCCAAAGCGCAAGAGTAGTGGTGCTGCCAATTAGGCTGTGCCAAAGAGAAGCGGTGAAGGGCTTCCTTTAAGCGGAAAGGTGAAAGGTCTCGACTTAATAAGGAAAGAAAAAAAAAATCCTTTGCTGAGGTTGCTAAGATCTACGGTAAGATCGGATCTTTTCTCCGTGAAATTGTGAAGGAAAAACAAATTCGTGCTCGTTTCAGTGCCACACAGGCTGCAAAAGTTATGGCTAAAGTGAGTGAAAAGTGCTCGGTGAAGATGGAAGAGGCATTAAATTTGTACGATAAGATTTTGAGAGAGAGAGAGACCATATTCACGTAACTTTTATTACAACATGGTATACTGTTATAATTGTTCTATTTTATTATTAGTTATTCTTGTTAATCTCTTACTGTGCCTAATTTACAAATTAGATTGTCATAGGTATGTATGTATAGGAAAAAACATCGCATATATGGGGTTCGGTACTATCTGGCGTTTCAGGCATCCACAGGGGGTCCTGAAGTGTACCCCTTGCTGATAAGGGGGGCTACTGTATAGATAGCTGTTTATGTACTGTATGTATCTTTGTGCTTTATACATTAAAAGAGTGAGGTAGTTTTATCCCTCAAGAACCAATTTTCACTCGCCCAGTGGAGAACGCACCGTCATTCCCGCTGACTGCGGAGGCTGTCTCTCTGGCAGGCATCCTGGAGAGAGAAGGGGTGGATCCTAGGCCTCTGATCCCATGCATCCCAGGCTTTGTTCATGGCTGTACCCTAAGTGCCCGGCACGTGGTAGGTGTTCAGGAAGTCAGTCATTGAAGGCACCTGGGAGCTGGACACTGGGCAGTGTCCCTCTATGGATGGAGGGGGAAGGAGGGCAGAGGCTGAGCCTTTACCTGGCAGGTACATGGAGCTGGGTTGGGAGGGAGGAGGGGCCTCTGATCTTATTCCTTGGCTTGTGCTGCCACCCAGTGGACATTTACCTGTACTGCTGCTCCCTGCAGCTTCCAGCCATCACCCCATCATGCGGATCAGGGAGGGCCCCCTTCTTCCATCCCCACCTCCCTCCCTGGACTCTCTCAGCCTTCCCCAGCAGCAAGAAGACACTTGCTGACAACTCTTCCCTCCGCATTTCTGTGAGGTGCCCACCTTTCCATTTGAAATCACCCATCACAGCCCTCAAGGCTCAAGCCACTCTCGGCCTGGACACTAGGCTTCCAGCCCGTGGGGCACTCCCAGTTGTTCCTGACAACACACTGGGAGGCAGATGCTGTTACTGTCCCATTGTACAGGTGAGAAAACCTCATCAAATATGTTTGGAAAATGCACGCTCAGTTTTGCAGAAACGCTGGTGACATCTCAAGGAATCTAGGAGTGCACTTTTAGAAATGCTGGGTTAGGGTCACTTTCTGCATGCTAACCAGGGTGGTACAAGGTTGGAGAGCCCCATCCGATGAAGATGAAGAAGATGAAGATGGAGATGAAGCAGAAGAGCAGAAGGAACTGGAGATTCTGTAGCGCAGAGAAGACAAAGCTTGGGGGGCCTAGGCCAGGACACTGCCCAGGGCAGCACACGGACTGGCCTGAGAAATTTATAAGGAGTGGGTTAGGACTTCAGGCCAGGAGCTCTCTAACCCCCAGAGAGCCGTCCATGCACAGGCTGCTGTGGGAGGTAGTGAGTGCCACATGCCTGGGAAGAGTCAAGGAGAGGTCTGATGCCCACCTTCCACCTGTGCCAAGAGGAGGCTCCTTCCTGGGGAGGAGGTTGGACTGGATGACCTCTGGGGTCTCCTGATGTTGGGAGACACAGAGGGGAGCAGCTCCAGAGTCATGCTGGGGGTCACAGTCACTGGTGGGATGGGCACCTGCCCGTCATGTGAACACAGGCTGATGTTTGCAAGTGGCTCCTTGTCCAGTTTTTAGTGAGAGGGTTCGGAGTTACCTCCATAATGGGGATCCCTCATGTGCTTGAATTCTGAATGCTCTCTTGAGTGGGAGAGAAAGGGTAGAGTCACAGCCAGCACTGGCAGATGGCTCCTAACCTGTCACCTGTTTTATTGTCGCTGCCTTATAGGAGGCAACATCCTCACTAATGCACCATTAAGAGTTATTCTCGTGCTTGTAAAATGCTCTTATGAACACCACGCCTCTATGGAAGTGTGTGGTGTGGTGGGCTTTGTTTCCTAGCATTTTCCTCTTGTTTTTTTGGAAGAGGAGGGGTTTCATTAAGGCCTCGCAAAAAAGGATGGCTCACATAGAAATCTCATCCATCATCTTCTGTCCTGGCAGAAGAGAAAGGAGCATCCATTACCGGAAAGGATGTTATCCAAATGAGCATTATTAGCTCACGGCCTGGACCCCTGCAGGGCGGAGGGAGTGAGGTCTAAGGCCCAGGTCTCTCTGCTCCCAGCTGAGAGCAACTTTGTGGCTGCTGGACACTTAGCCAAGTGGAAGCCACAGTCACGACACACTCTCTGGAATCTCAGTGCGCCTGGCCATGGAATGGACACATCTCTGAATGTTGATCTAATGAAACGTTTCCTGAGGCCCCTCCCCCTGTCCTTAGATTCCAGGAACATTTGCAGATGAGAAGCAGAGTTCAGACTATTATTATCATATAATCAACGCAGCACGCTAAGTGCTGTATGTGTTAAGGATTCATTGACTCTTTACCACAACCCAATGAGACAGCTCTGTTATTATCATTATGTTACACATGAGGAGACTGAGGCACAGAACGAGTGGTGAGCTCAATTGGGAAGCTGATATGTGGGTTCCAACCCAGGCAGACTGCTCACAACCACCTCACTACAGGGTCTCCAGCTGGCCCCCTGAACTGGATCCTGGTCCTTGTCCTGCTGGCCCCCACCTGTCACCAGGGAGAGCATGTTCTAGCTTAGGAAAGTCTCAGGAGGAAGGGCCTGAGAGCTTGCAGGAACAATTAACCAATCTCTTTCCTCCTCCTCCTCCTTCAGGGCTCCTTCTTCTGCCCAGTGGGGAGGAGAGGCCACATCTGACTTCGCTCTCCAAGTTAAATAAGAAGCAGAAGAATTTCAGTGGCCCCTCGGGGCCGAGGACGTCATCAGGGTAGCTTGAAATAAGGGGATGCTTCATTTCCAGAACGGAGGCGTTGAGTCCGTCCCTAGAGGCGAGGGCTGAGGAGACGGGGCAGGACTGAGCCTTTGGTTCTTGGCATTTACTCTGCTGCTCTGACTTATCTTTTTTTCTTGTGTTCCTGGTTTATTATTTATAGAGCGGAAGGCGGGTGGCAGCTCCTTGGCAGGTGGGATGTGCAGGAAGGAGGCCAGAGCAGCGGCCCCACCCCCTCCTGTCCAGCCCCAAGGAGTCAGGGAGGACGCCAGGCAGTGGGTGTGAGGAGTGTGTGTTGTGTCTGCCAGGAGGAGAGGGATCTCTCAGGAAGGTGTAAGCTGGGCAGAGGGAAATGGGGAGGCATGATGGGGAGTCTATGAAATAATAATAGTCACCATCTATTACTGAGTCGCCCATCTCAGGCAAGACACTTGACACATGTTACCTTTCCTCACCATAACTCCCTGGGAGAAGCATTCCTAAACCCATTTTCCAGATACGGGGACTGAGACTTAGAGTTATAAAGTGGCCGGTCCAAGCGTCACTCCTAGTTGGTGTCAGAGCAGGCTTCTAACCAAGTGCCCCAAGTTCCATGGTCTCCCCATCATACGGTTGAGGGGAGAGGGGAGACAAAAATGAAAGCCACTCCTCTCTCTAAACCTATAAGGTGGGGGGCTCCAACAGGTCTTCCCACCTAAATGTCCCCTAGTGTGCTGACAAGGTGCCTTGGGGTGCTACCTTAAGCTGAGAAGATGGGGTAGAGGGGCAAGAAGATGGAATTCCTGGCCCTTCTCTTTAAACTAGAGCAGGCTTTAACTACTTTATGTATTAAGCTTCTATATAAGATTTGAATAAGGCTGAATATTATGAACCAAAGGGGGTAGCTGTGCAAATGGTAAGTTTGTGGATCTGGCCTTGCAGGGGGAGGAACAGTTGGGGGAGCAGGGCTGTGATGGGGTTCAACCACCACAGATCCTTCCAATGGATGGAGCATCAAAGGGCTGGGAGTGCCCTCACCGCTAGTTTGCAGGGCAGCAGCTTCCTCTGGGAAGGCCCTGGAAACGAACCTCAGACCGTGCCCCAGCCAGTGCTTCTGGAGACTCAGGTCCCAGGGATCTCCTACTAATTCCTCCTCAGGTCTCCACTGGGTCCAGAAAACAGACTGGCTCTTAGGAAGTCCCACCTCACAAAGGAGACTGGGGATTACTACCCGGGCACAGGAGAGACGATGTGAGAAACACCAGGTAAGTCCTGGCCTCTCTTTGCACCTGGGGTGGGTAAAGGAGACACAAGATGAGGTGGTGTCAACTACAGACAAGCAGTGGAGGCTAGAGGCGGGGGTGAGTGCGTGTGTGGGGACGATTAGGTGTGTGTTGCTGTGAGTGCGTAAGAGAAATGGTTGGCTCATGTCACACAGGGCCTAGATAAGGTTGTGCATCTGGTCTACCCGGCAGGGCTAATATAGGAGAGATTCAAGTGTTACTGAAGCATTAACATCACAGCATTAAAAATCCTTTCAAATTCTATCGAGTCCAAGCCTCCATCATCTCCCCCATATGACTGCACCGCCTCTTAACAGGTTTTCCTGTGTCCACTCCTACCCGCTCCAAACCCTTGGCGTATCAGCCAGAGTGATCTTCCCAACTCAGATCTCATCATGTCTGTCTCTCTCTCAATCACACACACACACGCACACACAGGTTAAGATGCTTCAGCAGCTTCCCATCCATTACGATTCTTTAAAATAAAAAGATATGAGGGTATCTGAGGTGGGGCCTCTGTCTGTGCTCCCACCCCCAGCTTACACTACCCTCACCTGTGCTCCCTCTGCTCCAGCCATAAAGACCTTCTTTTCTTCTCCCCATTCGCCAGGCTCTTTCCCTTTGTGCGGCTGGGTTTCTTTGCCTTCAAACTTCTTTTCCTGCTCTCACCTGACCTGCTCTTTCACATTGCCTCGGATGTCACATCTCCAGAAAACCTTCTCTGAGTTCCCCGACGAGGTCAACTACCTCCACACCAGCAGCTCTCCTAGCGCTGTGCACCTCTTCTTTGAACCCTGAGCTGCAGCTGAAATTTTACATTTGTTTGCAGAGATTATTTGATTAATGTCCATCTCTTGCGTTGTAAGCTCCAGGAGGGTGAGGACCCTGCCTGCTTTTGCCCACCATTCTGTCCTCGGAGCATAATGCCTGGCATGAAGAGAGACTCAGTACATTTTTGCTAAATTGATGACAATGGATTCATGAAGTCCTGATGGTGCATGGGCTCATGTGCACAGAGATGGGCTCAGGCCTGGGGGCTGGGCTGCAGAGCGCACTGATATAACTGGAAAGAGCTGCTCCATGGGGAGCTGTCAGGCTGGGAGATGGATGGGATTGGATATCAAGAAGCCAACGAGCCTCTCCAGCAGGCCGGGCTCCTGCACCGAGGATGAAAGCATCAGACTGGATCATGATGAGGGAGAGACAAGGGCAGTGGGGGAGCTGAACAGGCTGGCCCAGGAGCCGGCTGTCTCTACTCTCCATCAAGCCTGGCCCGGGCCAGGCTGGGAATGTGCTGAGGCACCTTTATGCCCTCACCTGGACCAACATACCGTCTTGTGACTATAAACAATCACAGCATCGCATGTGCATGTGAACATGGAATCTTTAAGCACCAACTTTGGAGATGTGGACATGGAACATTTCCAAATATTGTATCTCACAAAATCTCAAAGTTGGAAGGGAACTTCAAGGTCATTTAATCCTACCCTAAAGCTTGAATCCCTTCTCTAATATCTCCGCTAGGAGCACAGATGTACAGTCTTGTCTACAACATCCGCATAAATGAAGCCTACTGGCTCTCACCAGGCACACGGAGCAAAAAGTCCCTTAATCCACGTCTACCCACTTTTCCACATACCCCCACCCTCACACACTACTCCGACCTTCAGCAAGCAGACCCCTCACACGCCGCTCCAGCCCCCATGAACATAGATGTCTCCTTTAACTTGCTTGAATTAACCCACGACAGTTGTCAGTGGCTTGCTGTCTCACACACACAGACCCATTGTCTCAAGGAACAGCATAAGACTAGAGACCTGCACACCAGGAAAGAAAGCCCTCGAGGGTTCTGCCTGTATTTCCTGGTGTGTGCGAATGACCACAAGAAGAACAGAACCTGTGTTTTGTCCCCGGCCATTGTCTGCTCTGTGGCCTTTTGTGCATATATGTCTGTGTGTGTGTGTGTGTGCGCCCGCGTGTGGGTGGGTGTGGGTGCCTCCAAGAGGCAGGGGCTCAGAGAGGGTGTATGGACCTCGCTGGCTCTTAAGCAACTCCCAGGATGGGTTATATGGTGCGAAGTCAGGTAGAAGTAGGGCATTTATGTTTTCTGACAAAGAGGAGCATTTCTGCATTCTTGATGAGGGACCCTACATCCTGTTCAGAAAAGCCACTTTTCTCCTCAGCCACTCTTCCCTTGAGTGTTATCTGTGTCTGTGTTTCTCCACACCTCCCCTCCATCCCAAGGGGCAGATCTTCCCCTGCTTTGTCCTTCCCTCCAAGAGCAAGGGCTTCTCCCCTTTCCACGTTCTCTCGCCATCTCCCCGTGCCACAAGGGGAATTCCTCATTTTAAAGCAGATCCAGGTCTCTCCTTCCCACCTTGCCATCAACCTGACCAACCTGTCACCATCTCCCTGATTTCAGTGCCTTTCCTTCCCCTTCCCTGTGCTCCCGTGTCTGTTTCAGACCCCAAAGAGTTGACTGAGGGGAATGGGAAGATGTGTGTGTGTGGCGGGGGGTCTGTCTGTTCTCTGGCCGGGGGGAGATGAGAAGGGGGAGAAGGGAGATGGCCACGTGGGACCTCTCCCAGTGGAGGGTAATGCCGGGACGGGGACTCCCATCCTTGTGGTATGTGCCTAGAGACCACCCTCCAACTCCGGAGGATTTTCTGGGAAAGAGAACTTATCAGGGGACCAGATCCCTAGTGGCAGTGGCAGAGGCCAGTCCTTGGGACATGGCTCCACAGAAGAGACTTTCCCCCAAGAAAAGCTCAGGAGGCTGGACGGCCACACTGAGGGGAGGAGGGGCAGGACAGGACACCAGGCAGCCCTCCCTCCTAGGACTTGAAAGGCCACAGACTCACCCTACAAAGTAGGAGATGATCAGAAGCTGAACTGCTCGGTTGATGATCCCAATGGTCCAGCTCTTCACAACCACTGACTTGGTGGTTTCGTAGGTGAAGAAATCTGATATGCAGTTCATGCTGAGAGACTGATCAGAGGCTACTCAGGAGAGACCCAGTGGCGGCCTCAGGAGGGAGAGGTCCTCAGGATGGGGAGATAGAGATCAAGGCCTGGAGGGGGCAGCTTAGAGGGGCTTGAGGAATGGGGATCCTGCTTCTTTAAGTCAGGCAGTCCTAACCCAGTGCCCAGGCTCTCTCTGCTCTTGACACTCTAGGATGCCAAGAGTCCAAGGCCAGGGCGGGGGACCCCCTTTTTGTTCGTCTCCACCCCACTCCCCTGTGATGTCACGGCAGGGGTGGGGTCTCCAATCCCAGGCTCCTGATTGCCTGGGATGCAGCTGGCTAGGGCCCTCTGGGACTCGTGTTTTATCTGCACTCTGTCTACCGTTTCTGTTCCGTTGTCTTATGCTGCATCTTCATCCCAGCTCACCAGCTGCTTCATTCTCTCCTTAAAGCCCCTTGCAATGCCCCATCCCCCAGCCACCTAAGAGCTTGCCTGAGCTGAGTACCCCCTTCATTCCTAAGTGTCTTCCTAAAGCCACTCAATTCTGCAGCCAACCCCTCCCTTCCCCAGTTGCCTCCAATAGCATGGGTCAGGGGGAGGGGTCTCCTGAACACACTTCTCTGGGTCTCTGGGGAGGGGATGAGTCAAGAGTCACAAAGTTCATATTTCCTACTCAAGATGGCAGTGGCTGAAGCTCTACCTATAGCATAGCATTATCACGTCGGAATTTTTTGTTTTACTGTCAGTTCACCTATCTGAATCATTTGTTAGATTACATGCTCCTGGAAGTCTGGGGCTGTTTCCGTCTTACTAGTTTCCTCAAATCCTGTAACTGTGTTGGAGCTCAATACACATTTACTGAATCCAGTTGAATTTATGTTGCTAGATAGTGGTGGAATAGCCATTAGTCTGAGGTTAAAGCCATGAGTTCAGGGATCAACAGTGTATTCCCATTGTCTCTTATCCCAGGACTTGAATTAGCAAGCTTTTGTAACTGTTTTAAGTCAGACTGTCAGAGAAACCTGGAGTTTAAATATTCTGTCCTAATGTCTTCATACAGGACACATATCAATCATTCTGAATGTAAAGTCACGGTGATTATGACTGAAGAGAACTGGACTGGAGTAAGGAGATTTGGGTTCTAGTCTCCATCTTTGTTGCCAACTCACTGAGACCAGTTTTCCCATCTGCAAAAGGAGGTTGGAGTAGACAAATTCAAACATCTCTTCAAGGTCTGGCCTCCTCTGATTTTGCAACAGGCGCCCTAGGACTACACAGGGGGGCCGGCTTCTGCAATCCCAGGCTGACGTGATTTCAAATCAGCTCCGGCTCCACGGTGAATCTGACACCAGAGTTGAACTTGATATCGCCTTTGCCAGCCTCTTCCAGGCGACCCATACCTTGCAGTTACAGACTTGAAATTTTGGGGTGCAGATTGTGAACTCATTTAAAAAGGATCCAATCCCATGTGACAGGGAGAAAAGTACAGTCACACACTGTACTGGCTGCTCTTGGCAGCCAGTGGGAGGGGCCCTTTCTCGCCACAACTCTCTAAATATTTTTCTTCTTGTCCTACAGCCTCCTTTCCACTGAAAGCACTATCGTGCAGGAGAGAGGGACACACACACACACACACACACACACACACACACACACGCATCTGTGGAAAGTCTGCAAAATAAAACTCCACAAGTTCTTTTTAGAACCTAGCCCTCCGCTAAAGAAGTGTCTGTAATTCCGAAGAGCCCTATGCGCCCCTATTTTCTAGTCGGACTCCACGAGGGTAGGACTTCATCGCAGCCCGGCTTCCCTCAGGTCCTCCAGAGCCGCCGACGCTCTATGTGACCGCCTCCTTGGCCGGCAGGGCTCGGGTCTCTCTAACCAGCTCGTCGTCTCTATGGTCTGTGCACGGCTTCCGCTGGCAGGACGCGGGGCCGCGCACGCGGGAAAAGCTTCCCCCGCGTTGCCCCATCCCCCGTGTCCCCGCCCCCCTCCCCCGCGTCCCCCAGCGCGCCCACCGCCCGCACCGGGGCCGTCGCGAGGCTGCAGCTTGAGAAGGTGGGTGGTCGCCGTCCCCGTGCCCGGGGAGGGACCCGCTCCCCCGCGGGACGCTTCAGATGGACCAGTCCGCGTTCGAATCTACGGCAGCGGGCGAATCCATTTTAGGGGGAGAGGGGAACTGTGGGTCTGGGGCCGCGGCGCGGTGGGAGCGCTGGGAGGGAAACCCTGCGCTCTGAGCTGGGTTGGGGCGCGGGCGAGCTGCAGGCTCCGGCAGGCCCTGGGGTTCCGCCGCTCGTTGCCATGGCGCCCGGTGGAGCGCCCAGAGCGGGTGTCTGGTTGGGATGTAAGCGCTACTCCAGGCCCAGTTCTCCAGCCTGGCCTGGGCCTGGCCCCTCGAGCTCTGCCGAGCCGGCCTGTAGGTTTCCAGGCAGAGGAGATCCTGAGACATCCCAGGCGCAGCCAAGGGTTGCCACCTGGCTCCATCCTGGGCAGAGTGGGGTGTTATCTTTCATGCTTATCTATCTCCCACTTGAATTCAGATTTCCAACCTGCTCAGTGTCTTTATACCCATCCAGGAGTTGGGGCCAGGCTCCTAGTTGAGGCCATCAGGAGCAGGTCAGCATGGCAGAAACACTGGAGTTCAACGACATCTATCAGGAGGTGAAAGGCTCCATGGTAAGAAGGGCTTGGCCTTTAATACAGGAGAGAGAGGGAAGGGGAGTAGGCATTTTGGCCATTAACAAGAGCTGGCTTTGATAATGTTGCTACTTTGGAAAAGGAGTTGAGTATAATGTGTAACTAGTGTTTCCCCAACAAAGGGCAATATCGAGATATAGTGTAAGAGTTAAGGGATCGTACATGCTGCTCAATCCTGAATCCTGAAACTGAGGACCTGCAAGGGTTCTGGATGCCAGAGCCAGGATAGAATCCAGACTTCCTGACTACTTGTCTCTTCTTACTGGCCCTCACCACTTCAGCCTTTGCTCCTGCATTGATACCTGGCCAGCCTAGAATGGGTGTTGGGTGGGACTGTACCCGGTATGCACTGTGTACCGTCCCTGTGCATTTGGACCTGTTTTTCCAACAGAATGATGGCCGGCTGAAGTTGAGCCGCCAGGGTATCATCTTCAAGAACAGTAAGACAGGCAAAGTGGACAACATCCAGTCTGGGGAGTTGACGGAGGGCATCTGGCGCCGCGTGGCTCTGGGCCATGGACTTAAACTGCTCACAAAGAACGGCCATGTCTACAAGTATGATGGCTTCCGAGAATCGGTGAGATGTCCTGTTGCCATAAACCTCTTTTTACTGGGCCATCTTATTTATTTGTAATCTTCTAGAGAGAATTGGGGCTACTTCCTCTGATAACCATGTAATTGCTAGTTTGGGCTCCTTATAGTAGGGCCGTTGCCATGTTCAGCTTTGGGTGTCAAAGTCTCCCGAGTTTCTTTGTGTCTTGACTCCAGAAGAGTTTTTGCTGTTTTGATTCTTTTTGGTGGTTTCTGCTCATTGCCTTTATCCAGGTTCAAAGTGTTAGCTGGATGTTTCAGTTTGGGTTTTGTTTTTCCATTTTGATGTGCTTGAGTTGAAGACGCTACTTCATTTTACCTTCCACTTTCATTAAAGCAATACCTGTACAAAACCAGAGGCCCATAACCAGGAATGTCAGTTCTTCCTCTCCCAGCCTGAGATCCTGTCCCCAGAACCAACCTCTTTCAATAACCTTTTAAAGAGTTCTATAGCTGAGATTCTAAGTCAGCATGGATTTCTGATAAGAGGTATATAGGAGCAATTTCTCAGAAATGGGTAATCCCAGAATGTTCAAGTTTGTGTTGGGGCTTTACTGGGATTGCTCTCTCCCCTCCACCTATAGGAGTTTGAGAAACTCTCTGATTTTTTCAAAACTCACTACCGCCTTGAGCTGATGGAGAAGGACCTATGTGTGAAGGGCTGGAACTGGGGGACGGTGAAGTTTGGTGGTGAGTCCTGGGGAAGACTGAGGTTTGGGGGAGAAGGTAGGGTAAAGGGTTTCAGCCTTTTACTTGTTTTGCTCTCTTTCTGTCACTGTCTCTGATTTCCCATTAGTTTGTAATTCGTCATGTATTTATCGAGGACCAACAGTATATCAGGCACCGTGTGTGGTCTTGAGGGTACAGTTTGGACAAAACAGCCCCGGTGCCCTGTCCTCAGGGAACCTATAGTCTGGTGAGGACGTTGTTTACACAGACCCAAGGGAAGGAGCGTGTGGCTTAAAAAGCCCTTTCCCCACAGGGCAGCTGCTCTCCTTTGACATTGGTGATCAGCCGGTCTTCGAGATACCCCTCAGCAATGTGTCCCAGTGCACCACGGGCAAGAATGAGGTGACGCTGGAATTCCACCAGAACGATGATGCAGAAGTCTCTCTCATGGAGGTGCGCTTCTATGTGCCTCCCACCCAGGAGGATGGCGTGGACCCTGTTGAGGTGAGGCCTCTTTTGGTCGCCTTGGGAGTGGATGGTGCCGAGCAGGCCCTGGCTGGCCTGGGAGCAGGATCCCTGCTGCTCCATGACCAGTGTGTGCTTTTGTAGGCCTTTGCCCAGAACGTGCTGTCTAAGGCGGATGTGATCCAGGCCACTGGAGATGCGATCTGCATCTTCCGGGAGCTGCAGTGTCTGACTCCTCGAGGCCGTTATGACATTCGGATCTACCCCACCTTTCTGCACCTGCATGGCAAGACCTTCGATTACAAGATCCCCTACACCACGGTACTGCGTCTCTTTTTGCTGCCGCACAAGGACCAGCGCCAGATGTTCTTTGTGGTAAGTAGAAGCCACTGGGGTGGACTGTCCTGGTTTTTGCCCAAGTCTTTAGTAGACGGATCTCACTGGTGTTTAGTTAATCAACAAGTTCTTCTGGATCATCTGCTGGTGCTAAACCTTGTCGGCTCTTCCTTACCAGATCAGCCTGGATCCCCCCATCAAGCAGGGCCAAACCCGTTACCACTTCCTGATCCTCCTCTTCTCCAAGGATGAGGACATCTCCTTGACTCTCAACATGAATGAGTGAGTGTCTCCCTGAACTCGTGTCCTGCC